CGGGCGGACATTAGCGGCGGCCGGGAAAACTTCTCCGTCCGTTCGGAGGAGCGGGGAAGGCAGCCCGGGTGGAGCGGGCGGGGGCTGGGAGTGGGGCTCTGGTGCCGAGCAAGGCGCCTGTCGCGCTTTGAAACACGGGCCTTCCTGCCAGCAGACTCGAGACCTCTGCTGCGGGGTGGAAAAACAATTAATCTCGTAAGAAATTAGTGGGGGGCGGGGGGGGTGGTAAAATGGCCGCACTGGTGTTTTTCTGGAGAGAGAGGGGTAAAATACTTTCGGCTTAACAGCCGTGAGGGGTTTTGCCGTTGAAAAGCTGAGCTTTTCGTGCCAGCTCTCGCGTTTCCGGCTGACCTGGGTTTCGGCTCGGTTTTACCTGGCAGGGGGTGGTAGTGTGTATTGGTTGACAGAACACCTCGGGCATAGGACTCTCTTGGCCGAATTGAATTTAAGTGATAGAAATCTTTTCCCGTGGCTTGGGCTTAAGATGTGTTGAGATCCTGATTTTTCACGCACTGACTTTGGCAGGTTAAGTACTTACTTTCCTCAGGTTGGGTTCTTTAAAATGAAAATACTTGCATTCTGTTTACAGTGTGGGTGTGATCGAGATAAATACCTTTAAAGAAAGATAATGCTCAGATATCCTAATAAATGTCCTCTAGTTAGCACCTAGGATGGGAAAGCGACGGTGTTATGGTTAGGTTATGATGTGTTTGGAAAGCTGCGCAGATTTTAGACTAGGAAATGGTTAATATTATTTCCCCTCTGTGTGTATATAGCTTCATCTATCAAGAAAAAAAAAAGAAGCTGCAAGTATTTCAGGATATCTGTAGGATGAATTAAACCTTGTGGATGGCCTTTGGAAAACCGCCTGCAACCGAATCTCGGTCTGATCACCGCCCCTCTTAGATTCTGGAGGGGTTAGAGAGTAGTTTGAGGCCTTCCTTGCTTCTTTATTTTGAATTGTAGCAAGAGAGCTTTAAATGTAATTCCTCGTTGGTTTGAGATGAATGCAAATGTGGCGTGTGAAGTCTTGCTTTCGGTTCCTCTGCTCTGTGGTGCCCAGCAGGTCCTTCCTGTGGTGCAGCTGCAATGGTCCCGGGTTACAGACCTTGCTTCTGAAAGCGGCTCCTTGGTCCCAGCTCGCCTTTATCTTAATTTGTTTCTTGCCCTGTGAATCCTCGGTGGACAAATCATGATCATCTGTCTTGATCGGTCTTCTCTTGCCTTTAAGGGAGCTTTCACCGAACTGCTGAATCTGTGGGAAATCCTGCTAATGTTGTAAGTGGAGAAAATGTTGAAGCGATGTTGGTGATTATCTGGTCTGAGAGAAATACCACTGCAGGGACTTGGAATTCTAAAATAAATAGTATCTGCAGGAGATGTTGCCTGGGGGTTTCGTTGGGAAAATTGAAACACCTTCTTTTATTTTTTCTTCTGTTTCACTAAAATATGAGGCTGTCAAAATCAAATGCATTTCAAGAAGGCTTTTGGTACACTTTTGAAAAAGATTCATTCTCCATGGCCTTATCTGATGCTTGATTTCTAAAGTTCTGTGTACAGATTCTGTATGCACGGTGTGGCTCAGGACTGCAGTAAAGTGCAGTGTAGAAGTAGTTGTTCCTCCAGTACCTGTTCTCTGGTAGATTAGTATAATTTCAGTGGTAGGACAGAGGTGAAAAGTTACCAAGTTTGATAGGATTTTGCATTACTGTACTTTCTTGCTGTCTTCGAGTCATTTGCATGCTGCTCTTTTGTTTTGAAATAAATAATATGTGATTGGGGAACACAGGGTACCTGGTTATTACAGCAAGCTTTTTTTTTTAATGAGCATTTAATAAATAGGGGGGGCTTTTACCTTAAACACGCGACCTTTTATTCAGATTCACTTTCTGGATAGACTCCTTTTTTTCCCTTGAACAGACAAGGTTTTTAGTTTATTTTGATGTATTTTTTTTTTCTTGCAAGGTAACTGCTGATAACTGGTTAGTTTGCGTGTGGAACATTGGTTTTTAACTCTTTTAAATAGAGTTTTGAGGTTGAAATGAGATGGGAAGGAGCATTAATGTATGCCGAATTGCTGCTTAGTTCTTACTGTGACCACATGTCTAAATCAGAGTTATTGTCACCTGCCTGATGCTGGGTTTGGTCTAAAGAATGACCGCAGTCCAGTCACTTTATTCTTCTGCTTCTGCTTATTCGTCTGTAACTGAAGGATAATTAATAATTCATTATTCTGTTTGCCATATGCCACTGGACATGGGGATAGCTACTGTAATTTCCAAAATGATGGGAACAGCAGCATTTTTAACTTCTCCAGTGGCTGAATCACTGTAAATGTGTTCCTTTTTTAATTCAGTTTAGAACAGGATGGTTCTTTCATAACTCCTGTCAGCCCTTATGATAGCTTTTTGGCAGACAAGTTCAAAGAACTTCCATCTTATACTGAGGAGGAAGAAATCTACTTTTGTGAAATGGTATGCTGTTTCTTAACTCTGTAATCTTGTTGTAGGGTTTTCCATCTATTATTAAACAATACAGTAACACACCCCCCCCTTCTTGCAGGAAAAAAAAAAGTACTTCAGATGGCTCTGGAATTCCCGGAGGTTTTACAATACCGCAGGACCTAAGAAAAGTAATGACTAAAAGTAATGCAATTTCTAGATGCTCTCTTGGGTAGAGGATAATGATGTGTGTTTTTGCTAATAGAAGCATTTTCTGTACAACATAAGATTGCCGATTTCTAAGCAAATCTGTGGGTTAAGTCTCTAGAAAAAAATTGCAGAGCAACCTTTGCTAATTCTGAGGGAATTACAGAAATAACTACTTGTCTGCAACTTGGTTTAAAAACAAGTGACAGTATTCTGATAAGTATTACTGCTGGTAGCCAGTTACCATCCAAAAAGGTGCGTTCTAGGTCTCTCTCATATTTGAGGTAGAGCTCAAGTCGCCATAGACTTTTATTTTGTGGGTGGCAGCGTATTACTCCCAAAATATTCTGTTAGCGCTGGGACCATGATGAGATCTAAAAATCTTTAATTTATTTAATTAAAAGGTGCCACAGTAACATTTATGGTGATCTGTAACTTTTCCATGAGCTTCTATGTTTCTCACAGCAAATGAAGCAAAATAACAAAGTATATTGTTTAAAAGGTTAAGGTTGATTTTTGTACTTCCTACTGAAAAAAAAAAAGGGGGTGTGGGAATGGGCATAATGTGCTGTAACAATATCAGTAGGGACAAGTTGTTTCTTAGTGGGTCTTAAGAGATCCTAATAATCTGCGCCTTCTCAAATCTTTCAAAACTAAATTTTGCCAGGCGGATGGGAGGGCAACAAACTTTGTGAGTCATTTCAGTGCATACAGCAGCTAATAAGCAACTGCTGATCATTCAGTAGGAAATTTTGTTGTTCTTTTACATAAAAACTCTTAACTCCAAAGTAAGGTCTCTCCTCTAGCAGGAAATAGGGAGAGTATTGATACCTTCCCTCTGCAGTACATTAATTTGTGTGACTTGTTTGGTCTTTGCCGTGGAAACATAAATGCAGATTGTAGTGAAACTGCGGTATCTTGCTGAAGTACGGTATCTGTCCTGGAATTGCCGAAAATTGGTGAAGCACTCAAAACAGTAAACAGCATCTGTATTTGAGGTTTTGTATTGACTCTTCTGTTGGTCTGAGCAGGCAGCTGAAACGGACAAAAACCAGTATAATAGTACAGTATGTGCCTTACCACTTCGTTCATGTTGAATGTAAGCAAGGGTGTTTTGTTCTTTTTCCATTGGGCGTTGAAAAAGACTGACCAAAACTGAAGATGGAGCCTAGCGAGAAGCTTATTACCTTTAGTATGCTTTTCGAGCTAGTGGAAAGTAAATGGTTTAGAAATCCCCCCAAAACACGTGTTTTCCCCAGCTGTGTGTATGGGTAGTATATAGGATTGAGGTGTGTTTTAACAAAAGATGACAATTAACGTCTGAACTATTTTATTTAAGTAGCAATCACTTTACTAACTCTCTGAAATAAAGATGTGAGTTGAATCCCGTAGAGATTATGTGACACTGCAAATAGCAGCAAAGTTCTAAATACTGTGTTGAACTGTGGTCAGATTTGTTGATGGGTAAGAACTGTGCAGTGAATGGGAAACTAATTGGATGTTTTCGTTGCTTAATTTTTGAGGTGGAGAACTCTTCTGTGCGTCTCTGTAGCACATGAAGTGGCAGTCAAATAGGTGTAGTAAAAATATGTGGGATACTAGTAAATAGTGTTTCATGTGTCCGGTAGTGTGGTGGCTCTAAAATTAATATCTGCCTACAGTAGCATTCACTTAGGGGTATGAGTAGCACAAAACAAGACCTGTGTGTGATGTGAATATGCAGGTGATTCAAAATTGTTCTGAAGATTGCATTTTGCCCCTTAGCTTTCAGAGTTAAGGCACCGAGATCAGAAGATAAAAGCTTAATTATAGCATTGGCTGCAAACACTGCCTTTCACACCAGGTGGAGGTTTCTCCTGCTTTCCCTGTCATACCAGACAGTCTCTTACAGCTTTTGAGGAAGGAGGAACCTAAAATACTCTCGTTGGTGGTGCCAGTGTCTTCAGAGCTCACTGCCAAGTTTATTCTTCACTATGATCTGACATTGTCTTAGTCAGTTTTATAGAATATTGAGCACATGGTCAGAGCTTGGTTTATATTAATGTATCGTCAGTACAGTAGTCCTGTATTTAAAAGGCTAAACAGTAAATTGTTAGAATTTCTGACACAGTTGTAAAATCTAGGTAGTTTGCTCCTGTATTTGTCCAACTCTATATGAAGCTTGTGGATCTTGCTCTTAAGTTCTTGTTCACCTGTAGAAGAAAAGTAGCAGGTGAAGCAGAGTATAGATTTCAGGAAACTAGTGTACGGTTTTTGAATAGAGGAACTTCAAAACAGGTGAATTATGACTTATGGTAGGTACTAATTACAGACTGCAGTTCATACTACTTAAAAATGTAAAACTTGACTACTTGATATCTTTGGGGTTTTTTCCCCTCCTCTTGGTAGAATGGCAGCTCATACTGTGGAGGTAGTGAACTGGCACCAGAGCTTCTCCACACTTTGAGCGTTGTAATTGTGTTGCATTTTCCTCAAAGCTGATCTGAGATATTAGCATATTATTAGTAAGCCAGCAGAAATAAGGATTTATGTATTTCATTTAATTGTCAGCTACAGGTTAATTGGCATCTACCGTTTAAGGTGAATTCAACTCCTGTATCCATTTGTGATGAAACTGGAGTTTCTGCCATGCTAATTATCAAGTACAGACTAGTCCTTGTGTGTTAGGAGTAAATCTAATTTACAGCATGTATAAATAAAAAAAAATGTTGACCCGAAACTTAGTTAAAAAAATAAAAATCTTAAAAGTAAATGCCACACAGCTACTCTAAAACTGCAGTAATTTTCATATCTCTTCCTTGATCTTTTTTAGGAATAGAAAAGATGTGAGTCAGAGAAACAGACTATACTGGGGAAAGGAAAACTGACTGTCTAGCACACACAGTCATGTTCAGCATAAACTTGGAGATTCTTCTTTCACTTCTTTTTAGGTATCCCTTCGAAAAATTAAAATTATATATCATGGTGGACCACTAATCCTCTTCTGGTCACTGATGGGAAATACTCGAACAGCTTCCCCTACTTTGATATAGCAGAAATTAGACACTGATTAGGGTGTGGGAAGCTCTCACTTTTCCTGTCTGAGGTTTGTGTTGCTTGATTGAGGCAGGTTTGGGGTCACATTTGTGACCCAGCTGCAGTGTGTAAATGCTCAAACAGGGCGGTTTGTGGTTGTGTTCTACCTGGGCATTAAATGCAGTGTTAAATGTAAAACATCAGATACCTATTCCTTTTAAATCTGTGACACTTAACACATGTTCCAAGGATCAAAAAGTGCATGAAAGCGCTGTTAAAAGTTTTCGCTATGGTGCTGGCCTGCTGAAAATCCTCCTGTGGTGACTGAAAACTGACATTTGCTTTTATGGCTGGATTCAGCAGTTTGTGTAGTCCTCTTCCCCTTTATACTTCAGTGGTTTGTGTAGTCCTCTTCCCTTTTATACTTCAGTCTCGTTTTAGCTCCATACGTGCTTGTATTCCAGGACAGTAGGATGTTTCCCAGAACACGTTCCATGTAATAATGTGTTCTTATTGCCTGTGTTTGTCTTACCCAGAATGATTCCTTGCAGTGTTTTAGTTTTGTGCACAGATTCCGTTTTATTTTGTCGTTTCATAGGAACCTCCAGACGTTAAGTCTCTTTGGGGATATAAGCATTCTGCAGCAACATGGAAGTATATCAAATACATACCTTGGCAAGGTTGACCCTGATGGCAAGAAGATTAAGCAGTAAGTTATATTTGTTAATTATCCAATGCATTAAAATAATGAAAACAGCTAAAGGAACACAGATTTTCATGCCTGAAATACATGACTGAAAAGCTTTAAGTTTTATTAATAGGATGAGGATCTAAATTTTTAAATTGAATTGATTTGTATTCTTGCTATTTACGTGAAGTAGTCTGGTTTTGTGGCTTTTTTTTTTTCCATTCTCAGCAGGGTGAGAATCCTGTCTTTCCTCTTTTCATTGTATTCTAGAAAAAATGTTATGTTAATAGCACAAAAGAGGAGGAGGGATGGGGGGTTGTTACCAGCACCTCAACTATTTCTGTACATGAGAAAATTAGAAAAAGAAGTAATCTATTGTATTTCACAAGAATTGAGGGCATGTAGCAAGTAAACTTGAAAGAGAACATAAACACAAGCAGCTTGTTTCAAGTTGTGTCTCAAAACTGGGTTATGTATTTTCAGAATTCTTGGAAGATCATAGCTCACAATGTGCTTTTTAGTTCAGAGGTGTGTTTTAGCTTGCCATCATTACATTACAGTACAGTCCTTGAATGCTTATGATCAGAATTGCTAGTTCGTCTTTGGAGAAGGTTAAATACAATGTAAAAAAGCTACTGACTTCTGGAATGAAGTACCACAGAGGGAGTTTTGCTAAGTTAACTATTTTAGCAGTTCTGCTAACACTTTCCATGTAGATAAAACCTGAACACCATCATTTTAATTTGTGTCAGTTTAAACATCTTTCTCCCAGCAGTTTGGGAGTGGAATAAGCACAGCCACTCTAGATCTTTACCATTATTTTTTAGAGTGATTTTAGAACTACTGTAGGTGTATTATCAGATCAATGTATGTATGTGAACACAACCATCGACCTAAATGTTTGGTCCTGACTTAAATTTGCAGAACAGTGCAAATACAGATGCGTGTCACATACCGTGTCTTTGTCATCCATTATGCTTAGAATACAGAACTTAGAGCAGTTTGGGATTCTGTTTAACATATGTACTGCAGTGCTGTGTGCAGGTGAAAGGCTGATTTGGTAAAAGCTCATTTTTTTATAACCTTTGTTGTGAAAACATAAATATATAATCAAATCTTTGCCACGGGGCTTGAAGAGAGCCATCTAAGCAGATGTTTACTCAGCTGAGTGCATGGTTATGCATTTCTTCAAACAAATAACAAAAATAATTATGCACATTTCAGAGCCATAAACTATTCAAAACTCATTATCTATTTTGAAGTTAGTCTTTTGCATAAGTGTTGACCTTTGCACATTTTGGTATGAGCAAATAAATGCTACCTCTTTTTATTTGGTTGGTTTTGGTGGGGGTTTTTTGCTGGAATAAAACAATGTATTTGGGACCTGTTAGTCCTTTTCTGAATGAAAAGTAAGTTGGCAGTGCTTTATTTAGTGTTCTCATCAGCACTAGCAGCAGATTTAATTCGGAAAGTAAATCTTTATGGCCCCTTAGTCTTGTCTTTTGCTTTTGGGGTTTGCATCAGTTAAATTAGAAAACAGAGATACTGAAAACTAACACTGAAACACATTGAGCAACCTTTGGAGACAGCATTATTGGTAGTTGAGGATTTTTGGAACCCATGTGGTGATAAACCTTACTAGCTGTTTCAGGAACTCCCTGCAATTAAAGCAGCCGGGGAAGAAAATGTGACTTAAGTTTGTGTCATTAAGCTGGGTGTAACAGACCATGGGTGAAATTTCAGCTAGCACAGAACTATTATGATGCTCCCCCAGGTTAAGACTAAGGATTGTTCTGAGGGAGAGGAGACTTTGGACTGTGTTTTAAAAATGCACTCTGGCAGTGATCAGCATGGGTTTGTAATGCTTGTTCTTTTTCCTTGTAGCATATGTGTCCCTGGTTAGTTGCTAAAATTCTCTTTGCAACTTAGTTCATTACTGTTGGGAAGCTCAGTGTAAACAATACATTTGTCTTGAGTTAAACAAAGGATGTTTGTTTAAAATTTTGGCTTTCTGAAATCTGCTTCCCATGATTGGTCCGTGTGGTTCAGATAGTTTGATTTCCAAAAGAACGAGTTTAGCCTGTGTTACTAAACAAAACATTTTGATTGATAGTCTTTAGTTGGACAAATGGACTCCACGTGGACCTTACTAATATGTTTGTTTCCTGTCCAAGGCCATTGATGTGCTTCACTACTGGTCAGGACTCTTTTAGGCTTAAACAGTAACTCAGCCTGTCTACTCAGGTTTTGGTCTGTCCTCTAGCTGAAAGTGCCATTTGGGACATTAATTGTGAAAGTAATTTATTTTGAGTTTTTTATTTTTTAAGGAGTTTGCTTCTGTATTGATCATTTGTAGGTTTCAGGTTGATGGTGAATATCCCATAATTGCTGCTTACAAGGAGCAAAGGGGACTCATTAAGTACATTTGTTGAGGCATCCACTAGGTTGCTTTCTTGCATGCGCTGAGTTCTGCTTGTATTTTGTGTTGTACTTACTAAACAATGCTTAAACTTCAGCTTTATAAGCGAGCTTTAATATAACCATGTGTCAGTTAGAATAAATGTTGTACTACATACTAGGCAGCTGAAGTAAAAATGTGATAATAAAGTAGGTGTGAATTCCCAAGAATTCACTAAATGTGTTGAAATTTCTAGAACACAGTTCGAACTATTTTTGCAAACTCCAGTTAGATGCAGTCTTTTTATGAAAAATAGATGTGTATAAGAAATTTCAGGGGAGGAAAAACCCCTGTTAGGGTGTTTGAAAAATGTGTTTGAAATACGTTAAAACCAATGGCATGTGGTTTACATTGTGCTTCCTATCTGGTCTTATGTAAAACAGATATTAAAAACAATCCACAAGTGATTACTGTTAAATACTCTATTGACATGTTTGATCTCTTTTGATTAAATTGTCATAGAACTGGGGGAAGGTGGTTGGAAAATTTTCTTAGGACCTAGGGGTTGGTAGACTATCAGCACAAATCTAAATACCTGTGTAAATACTTGGGTGCTTGCACTAAGTAGTTGATGTGTAGATAGCATTAAATCAGTATCTCTCTTTTAAAAAGTTTAGTGCAATCCCCACAGGGGAGAAAACCCACCCTAGAGCTGCAGAGTTCTGTATTGTATTTCTTTTCATTAAGTTGTGTGAGCACTAGAACAGTACTCTTCTATGCTTAAGATGTTGAAGTTGTATCAGAAGCACAGTTAAACCATATTTTTAGTGCAGTGAGGTATATAGATGGTAGTATTCTAATGAACATCTCAAAATTGATTTGTCATCTTTTCAATTGTTCTGTAAAATATTACAAACACTATTAAGACTGGCTAGTTGGACTATTACAAAATTAATTCTACCATTGCTGCAACCGTTACAGCACCTGTCATAGATGTGTGTGGTGAGAGGGGGGAGGGAAGTCTTAGTTCATTGAAAGAAATTAGAGAGGTTCGTGTGGTAGAACCTTTTTCTTTGGGGCATTGTCAGAGAATCTGCCTTCAGTTTAAGCATTGGCAGGAATAATTCTGAAATAGACATTGCCAGGATCAAACAGGGCTCATCTGAACTGTAAAATAATTTAGGAATAAAATAGCAAAACTACACTATCTGTGACTGTTGACCTGTTGTTTAAAATTGTGTTTAATTTGTGTCGCAGTTGCCAGTCCTCAGTTTAAAAATAAAAAAAAAAGTTGAGAGATCTGGAAGAACTGAAGTCTTTAAACCTGGTGACTATACTAGGCAAAACCTTGGGAATTCTTCTGAGGTGTACAATAGATAAATACGATAACCACACCAACTTTTCCACCTTACAAAGAGAAGTCAGGCGTTGCAAACCCAGTACGTTCTTGGCTGGAGGAAGAAAGCACAGGCAGGCAAGGGAGAGGATGAATAAGGATTTACAGAGGGAGAGGATGAATAAGGACTGATCTTTTAACTTTCTTACAACAGAAGTATTATGGGGCATCAAAGGTAGTAGGTGACAGGTTCACAGCAAGCAAGAAGAGGGGGGGAGTCGCACTGCGGAGTTCTCTATTATTGGATCTCACAGCTGCTAAAAGCTTACATGGCTCAAAGAGGAGCCTGGATAAATTTGTAGAAGTGAGGTCCTTGAGGGTTACTAAATAGAGAAAGCCACCTCTACCTCAGGAGGTCTGAGTTACAAATTTTTAGAAACTAAGGAGGTATTTGAGAAATATCTCTACGTGCTTTCCTTGTTCTCTTGCACTTCTTAAGGCATTAGTGTTTCTTGGCTGTCAGTCAGGATACTGGGCTAAATAAGCCTTTAATTTTGTCTGGACGTTACCTCAATAAAAGTATGTGGTTCAGAATAATAACTTTGTAACATTGTTTTGATTAGGTGTATAAAGTATACAGATAGTCATAACAATAAAGGAAAAAGTGTTCTGTGCAAAATGTTACCTGGTTTGAGGCACAAAGGTTTCTGCTGATTTGATATTGGAGGTGTTTAGATCTTTCTTCTTGACGTTTCATGGAACTGTCATAGCCTGGCTCAGCTGCTTCCCTTAAATGCCAGTCTTTCCTTCTGGGTGACCAGGGTTTGAGATCAAACTCTCATCTACATGTGTGTCCCAGAATGTATATGCTTAAAGAACACTTGTCATTTGGGCAGGAGGACTCTTTGGGCCTTAGCAGCTGTGGGTTGAAGGCTGGAAAAATATTTGGAGAAAGTTTGTAGAGTTTGACTGTACTATTTGAATTTGGTATTCAAAATCTTGTCTTAAAATACTTTTGTTGCCTTTCTGAATTTAATATCTGACTTAAAGAACATACCTTCATTTAGAAAAAAGAAGGGGGTAGGAGAGGTGGGATGCATCAGAATAACTGCATAATAATCATGCAGCGTAATAAATGGCACGAGGATTCTGGCAGTGTCAGAGTCATCTGACACTGATAATCTGAGATGGAAATGTTACCAGGTCCAAGTTGTTTTGGTAAAAATTGAACCTGTTGACACTTGAAAATCCGATTAGCTGTACATGGAGAATTTTTTAAAGGATCTTCTCGCACGTTTGTTCTTTACCCTTTAATGAGCAAAGTCAAGCAAGTAGTTTCAGATCATTCTAACTTATGCTCGAAGTCAAGTTTCTGCAACCTTTCGTTGAAAATTATGTTTTTTTTCCCATATCGAATTTACAGTGTGGAGAGGTTAGCAAATATGAAAAGCTGTTTTTAAAAGCAGGAACTGTGTTTTAAAAGCATTACAGGTTTTCTTATTTGCATAACCTTAAAATGTATGTGGGAGGGTGTTAAATACTTGCTGAGAAATACACGAAACGAAGGTTCTTAGTGTGCCATAGTGTTTTTGAAAGACAAAGTACGTAATTTTTCTCAAGATAGTTTACAATTTTAACCTTTTAAGTGCAGTGAAGGTTAAATTGTTGTGGGAGGTCTGCAGAATCGGATTCTAACATTGGTGATTCACAGGAATCATTATAATAGCACCTTCCTGCAGAATAAGGCCATAAATGAAAGAAGAAGAATAATTCTTGAATTAAAAAATAGAATGGCATGTAATCGGTAAGACCAAACCATGTTTAATAGGATCGTCGTCTGTTTTGTTTACTTGCAGGATACAACAGCTGTTTGAAGAGATATTAGGCAATAGCAGGCAATTGAAATGGCTGTCTTGTGGGTTTATGCTGCAAATAGTAACTCCCACATCATTGTCCTCCTTATCAAACCCCATAGCCAACACCATGGAACATCTGAGCTTATTGGACAACCACATCCCTGGTAATGCCACTCTTATCACTGCGGTTGAATTGGAGCGCTTTGTGAATCTGCGTTCGCTAGCTTTGGATTTCTGTGATTTCACAGCTGAAATGGCAAGAGTCCTGGCTGACAGCAACCATGTGCCTTTGCATCGACTGTCTCTCCTGGTCCACCGTGTTTCCATAATGCACAAGTCATTGGACAGTATGCCAGAAGATGAGAATTGGAAGGCGCTGACTCGCAACAGCGCTAATCTTCGGGTCTATATAATGGCCTTTGATGTCAAGAGTGATGATATGTTAAGGATTCTTAAGCCCAGTATCCCCCTAGAGAGGATTCACTTCGACAGCTACATCACTTATGTTTCAGGAGCTGTTGTTGACCTCATATCCAGGCAGTATGACAAGTTCCTCACTCATTTTATACTAATGAATGATGTGATAGATATGTCTGGCTTCCCAGATCTGAGCGACAACCGGAATGAAGATCCACTTGTCTTGTTAGCCTGGAGGTGCACCAGACTCTCTCTCCTGGCTGTTCATGGTAGGTAATGCATTGCACGGGCATAGTATGTGTCTTTGAAATACTTGCAAGGCTTCAGCCTTTCTAATCCTGATGCATTTTAGTAGAGTGGTGTTCAAAAGTCTGCTGCACAGTTGCTGTACATACTGCTGTACCTTCTACTGGTATTCTCGTGTTTGAAAATTTGAAGGTGTTTATTGTGTATGAGTTCTAAACATAGTTGTAGCTTACTAACTCCTATTGAGAAGTCATGTAGGATTTTATTAGACTGCTCACAGAAATGAAGATAACTAAGAATTGAGCATTCCAGGAGGCTTATCCTGAAAGTAGTCTGCGCTGTGCAGGTTCCACAGAGTGGCTGGTTATGTGGACACGAACACTGAAAATGTTCGCTGCTTTCCCGTGAGCTCATATGCTGGCAAGATGAGGTGATTGTGCTGCCTATTTGTAGATAACATGGGTTATATGCCCCAAGGCTGAGGGGAGGAAGTCTGTTACCAGTTTGGTAAGACTTTGCCAGCAGATGAAGGCTGAAAAATACCATGTGGAGGAGGTTGCCTTGCTGGGTGCATTGGTTTAATCAGTAACACCGGAGCTAGGTTCAGCCCACCTATTTATTTTCCGTATAATTGCAAATAAAAAAAGTATGCATTTGTATTCAGCTCCATCATCGGTACAGTACTTGCTAGAAGTTGCAGTTGTTTGGCAAATTTTAAGACACCTGAAACTCAAGTAATGCAGAATAGTTCTTTTTGTTTCTGCTGGAATCAGCTTACCAAGACGAAATTTGCCAATGCATGAAGGAGTTAAGTGATGACTTTGTATTGTGTTGCATAAGAATGAATGCCCATTTCCTGAGACTGCTTGTGGGAGTAAATCTCCAGTCTTTCAGCACAAACCGGAGAGACCTTCAGCAGTGAAGGCTGTACGTTCAGTTTTCCATTGGCTGAAGTCAGAAGGTCTTGCTGTGTTTGCTAGAAAATGTTTTTCCAGTGTCTTCTACTGAAAAGTCATGCAGGAAGTGGGGGTAGGGATCAATTCGGCTGTCTCTCCTGTATAGTTTCCAGATTTTGGATACTGGCACATGACCGTGCTACTCTAAATGTGGATTTTAGTGTTTCTTTTAACATTTGGATACAAGTTTGAGGACCTTTTAAAAAAAAAATTATGTGGTACTTTAAATCATCCTCCTCCTGCAGCAAGGTCCTCTGATATATTATCTAAACTTAAAAAGATGGTAAAATATTGGAACATAAGCTAGCATAAGTATCCTTTAATATCGGCGCGTGTCTATTCAGTGGAAGGCATTACTCTCTGCAGAGCATTGGAAAAGCAAATGCCTTCTACAGTTCTGTCTAGCAAACGGCTGTTAATGCATCTTCTGTAAACCTGGGCGGAGAATGGCAAAATACCATCCTTGCTCTGATGTTGGGATTCAGATTATTTTCTCCCCGCCTTGCAGCAGAAGCTAGCTAAGTTGCTTATAAATGCCTCCTGATCTTTTTTAAGCTGTCAGTATGAGACCTTTTTTAAGCTGTCGGTATATCGTGAGACCCCACCTGGAGTACTGTGTCCAGCTCTGGAGCCCTCAACATAAGAAGGACATGGATGTGTTGGAGCGGGTCCAGAGGAGGGCCACGAAGATGATCAGAGGGCTGGAGTCCCTCTGCTATGAGGACAGGCTGAGGGAGTTGGGGCTGTTCAGCCTGGAGAAGAGCAGGCTCCGGACTGACCTTATAGCAGCCTTCCAGTACCTGAAGGGGGCACAGGAGGGATGGAGAGGGACTTTTCACGAGGGTGTGTAGTGATAGGGCAAGGGTGAACGGCTTTAAACTAAATGAGGGCAGTTTTAGATTAGATATAAGGAAGAAATTCTTCACCGTGAGGGTGGTGAGGCACTGGAACAGGTTGCCCAGAGAAGCTGTGGCTGCCCCCTGCCTGGCAGTGTTCAGTGCCAGGTTGGATGGCACTCTGGGCAGCCTGGTCTAGTGGAAGGTGTCCCTGCTCTTGGGAGGGGGGTTGGAACCAGATCATCTTTAAGGTCCCTTCCAACCCTTACCATTCTATGATTCTGTGACTTCTCTGGTACTATAGCATAAGCATCTTTCCTCTAGAGTAGCAGCCGTGAGAAGAACATGACTAGGAAGGAAGATCTTGAACACTGTGATGCTTCAGTACAGCATCTTAGCCTCACACTTGTGTCTTCTGAGGTTTACCAAATAATAGCTTCTGGCTTCACTTGTCATACTCTGCATGATACTATCGAGCTTCCTTCAGGAAAAAAATGCTGGTTTTGTTCAAGGTGCCATAGTTCGCTTTATATGTAAGTGCTTAGGTTTCTTCTCCGGTCTCCTGAAATGGTTACTCTTCAGTTTCCAGTACTTTTCAGGTTCGTGTTTGTTTGTTTCCCCTCTTTTGCTATTGGTTTGCTCTGAAAAAGGCTTTGATTTACATATAGTTGTGGCTGCCACTTGTCACTGTCCAAAAGAGGAGGGTGAAAACATATATCCCAAGGACACTTTTCCTTGGGTTCCTCAAGATTCTCTTCTGTCTTTTGTGGGAAGTCGTATCATCTTTCCACCAAGGTCGCATTTTCAGGAGCGGAGGAGAGCTGATGGAAGGATATTAATTATGTTCTTGCAGAATGAAGGAGGGTTGTGAAGAGTGTGTGGCCGTTTGGGATGGGGACAATAAGGGTAGTCAGCGTGGTATGATCTGGCACTATGAATAAAAAGCACAGCCAATCTGTGGGGGCTGAAACCTCCCCGCCTGCCTGTAAGAGAAGGACACTTCATGTGGATTTTCAAGACTTGTGTTGTAAGCATACTGTGTTACCTATGAGATTCTCAGTTCTATTCTGTCCATGAGCAAAACTGAAGTTGAAGTTTTTACTAGTGAGGAAAAAAAAATTCTGGTGCTGCCCATGGTGAATTTGCTGTTCAGTGAAGGTTGTGGTGAAGTGATCATTCCCTGTTACCACTGAATACTTCAGCTGGGCAGAGGCTTTTTGGCTGCTGGAAGGTTACGGAGAAACTTCAGGCGAAAATTTTGAAAGGAGAGTTAATTTAAAATGAGATTTAAGTTGAGAATAAGATGGTTGTTCCAGAGCATAGAGGGTCTGATGGTGAAAAGTTACAGCAACAGCCACATACCTGAACCACAAGGATGGTACAGGGGACTTAACCACAGTTGTTGTTCACTTTATTCTTGCACTTTCTGTCAAGGATTTCTTCAGTAAGTTCCTTTATGATCAAGGTATCTGGAAGGTGTTGTGAGCTCCTTCGAATCCTGATAGGGGAACGTCGTTGTACAGGTGAAATTTTCCATTGGGTTTAATGTCCTGCAGCCTTATTGACGGCTTCATCTTCTGTGGACAGCAGATGGAAATTGTGGGAATTCATGCATGAGCCATACAGATGTGTGCAGGCTTCTGTGTTGAAATCCTACCCTGAGCAACGTATTTACAGCAATCCTTAGAGACAAATAGTAGGAGAAAGTGAAAGAAAACTGAACAAAAAATTTTCCTTTCGTGCTTACTTTGACAGCAGTTTTCTTCATTCTTTAACTAGCTGTCTCATTTTGATACATTATGGTGTAGGGCATGTTGACTGCATTGCTGAAGACCAAACCACAGTTAGTTTTTATTTCTCAGCAGCTTAACTTTCCCAGTTCAAATACTGTGCAGCCTGCAGCTTTGCTTGGAATCGAAGCGGGCATCTCGCCCTGGGAGGCTTAGCACCTGGGAGAATGATGACAGAGGCAGAAACGAGCCTCTCCTTTTGCAGTGGAAGGGCTGACCTGCCAGAGCTCCCGAAAAGGGAAGGGCCCAGCTCCTCTGTGGCTTGGTCTGAATAACGAGGAGCTGAGCATTTGCTTTAGCGATGGTACAGAAAGTGAACAGGTAACTGGGGAGCAGGTGTTTTTAAAGATGGATGCCAATATACGCTAATGGGAAAAGAGAGAAGCTTTGTAATTAAGTTTAATCTCAGATAGAATGACAAGATAATATGTAGATTTTATTTTTTTTTTTTAATACTGGTGTGACCTGTTTCCTGAAGAAATTGGCTTCTGGTTTGTGCTGGGTTTTTGTATTTGGTTGGTTTGGGTGGGGGAGTTTTTTTTGGTTTTTTTTTGTTTGGTCTGGTTTGTTGTGTATTTTTTTTTAGTCCACCTCTAATGCAACAATAGCAAACATCAGATTTTTTTTTTTTTAGCTCAAGCACAGTTTTAAAACAGTCCTTTTATGCATTCATTATAAATAATTGATTACTCGCTTTTTTCGTTTTATTTATGCTACAAAGGGAGATCAAGGGAGGTTTGAAATTGTAGATATAACTTAATTTGGAGTAAAGAAGTCCACTTTTCTACAAATAGTGAAGAAATTAGATCTAGAAAAGCTTGGTCAAACTACCTGAAATACTTTTAATACTTCCTTATAGAGACTATAAAATGGGGCTTTACCACTTGCAACTGAAAAAAAAAATATACTGTAGGGAGATTCTGCCAGATGGAAGATGACAAAATAGATTGGGAAGGATGTTAAGATGGTCTGGTATTAAGTAATTTAGTAAAAAAAATGCCTCGTAGTGAAATGACAGAGCCATTGTGAGAAAAGACAAGGCAGCTCTTTCTTTTGCCCCCCCCCCCCCCCCAGGTTACACAGTTTGGGCTCATAACCTTATAGCAATCGCTCGTCTGCGTGGCTCTGACCTGAAAGTTCTGGAAGTCACAGAAGAAAGCATTGATTTCGACCAAGGGGAACTGGCTGATCAGGATGTGGATCCAGTACACAATCTCATTGAGCAAGTCTCTCTCGGGTTGGGTCGGCCTTGGCACGCAGTCATGGACATAGAGCTGCTCAGCGTCTTCACCGAGCCAACCCGTCACTTCTACAGAGAGATGCAAAGCTTCAGTGAAGGCATTTAGCTCCTTATTTACAATTCCTGTGGTTACATATGCAAGTAGGGTCCTATTATGTTTTTTCAGTAGTGTGAGTTAACCCCTTTTGTGCTGTGTTTAATCAGTATTAGCTATATAGAATTATATATGTGTATTCTACTTCTTGATCAAAGAACGTAGTCGGGTATTGGTTTAGAAGCTGAAAGTGGCAGTGTTCAGGGTTTTCACGGTTAATGGACTTGTCTACCGAACCTTAGCGAGATACAGAAAAAAGGCTGGCTGAGGCTGCCGGCTAACTTTACTTTTATTGAGTGACTGCATTCTGAATGATTTTACTATGATATCGGAGTTCTGTGCTCAGGAGCCAACTCTTTTTAATACCCATATCCATAGCCCAGTGGATTTCTGTGCTGTAATCGTGTGCTTCATCTGGCAGCATGCGACTTAATAGGCCTAAAGGAAGAGAAGTCTGCCCAGGGCTGCTCGTTGCAATCTTCTCGCCTTGCTTTATTTCACGTGCAGATTGTGCAGCATGAGCCAGCTGCCATTCTCTGCTTGTCTCAGCCGTTCAGCAGCGGTGTGACACACTAGCTTTTCAGGTACCTGCACTTCCAAACTCGCTCCCTAAGCTGTAGGCTTTCGGGTTCTCTGCTTTTTGATTCCTCCTTGTTTATTCTCATGTTCTGTCATCTTCCTTAAAAGTTAGCTTTGGGCCAAAGTTTAAAAGAAAAAACCAAGAATGCGCACTCCGATGAGGTAAAAACGTAACAGCGAAGACTTCAGTGCAGAGGTACAGACCTGCAAACAAACGTTAGTCGTGAAATCCCTAGCAACCAAGTCACTGGATTTTCTCTGTCAGCGCCTGTGTCAGCTGCCAAAGAATAGATTATCTTCCTTAAAAGTTAGCTTTGGGCCAAAGTTTAAAAGAAAAAACCAAGAATGCGCACTCCGATGAGGTAAAAACGTAACAGCGAAGACTTCAGTGCAGAGGTACAGACCTGCAAACAAACGTTAGTCGTGAAATCCCTAGCAACCAAGTCACTGGATTTTCTCTGTCAGCGCCTGTGTCAGCTGCCAAAGAATAGATTAAAAACGAAGAAGTGCCCACATGCTGGCAGGGGCAGGCCAACTTCTGGCCAGCCAGATACTGCTAGATTGTAATATATAAGGTCGAATTTCGACCTGTGGTACACAGCTGTGCTGTGGCTCAGTCAGCAACCTCAGAACTCTTAACAAACATGCACCTGTTTCACTGTGAATAGTGAATGTAAAGGAAGGGAAGGAAACAAATACAAAGCTTGTTCTATCACAGGTATGAGCTGCTACGATGCATGAAGAACATTCCATGAAGTATGTTTTAAAATCTTGTTATATCTGAGAGGCTTTAAAAGCCGATTTAACTGTTTCAGGGCAACCGCGGTACAGACGTGGTCTCTGTGAGACTTCCACCTGACCCCAGTTTTAAGTGGTACGAATGTTGTGCATTTAATGTTTAAAGGACAGTCTGCAATAATAAAGTAAGTGGCCAACGTGGGTGCCCAGCAGTGCTGAGACCTGGCTGCTATATTGTAAGCTTTGGAAAACACAATTTATGCAACAGATGTCCAGATATGATTCTATTTATGGAAAAAGTTTATATGTGTTTTACAAATGGTTTTACCATCTTATATTAAAATGACCTTTTGACAGGTGTGCGCTGTTTTGTCTCCAGTGAGCACATACCATGCGGATTTTATATGTACATCAGTAGAGTGAATCCACTGGCACAGTGTGTGTATATGCCAGATGTGGTGAGATTTTATCTTATAAATGTGATCAGATAAAAAAAAACTCCTGACAGAAAATGTAAGGAAACCAGCTGAATGTTTGAATTGATGACTGATGTTGTATGGTTTATGTTAAATGTATATTCTTTTAATCAACGAATAAAGCATTAAAAATTGATTGCTGTATAAAATATTTTATTGTATCAGCATGGAGATTTTCAGAATTAAACCGCAACATCGTTCATAAGCTGTGTGTAACTGGTAGCTCCCATTGTGTTTAGGTTGACAAGAGTCTAAAGTCGTACAGTAATTCTTTTTTCAATTTGGCTGAATTTTGTCAACATTGGGGGGGGAGGGGGGAAGGATGCTTTGCTAAAGATGAGCCTATCAGACCAGTTAGCACAAAAAAGTATATCGTGATATGACTTACTAGACTGATACAGTAAACTGTGGACTGTAGAATATAGAAGACTACTTTCGAGAAATTCCTGCGTCCATTGCAATTGCTTAAATCAAAACCTAATGTGCTCAAGAAAAATGTGTAGTACTTCTTTGGTGTCCCACTATTAAATAGATTATGAATACCTGCAATGCTTCAGTTTGACGTTTTATCCATACTCAAGAGTACGTAGCTGTGCATTCGGAATGGAAACCACTGGGGGTGCGCTATCGAAGAGGGGCGGTGCCGGGCAGCGGCTGACTGTGCTGCCAGCGTCGTCAGAGTGGCTGTTCAGTGTGTGCGTGCCCCGCACGGACTGAACTGCAGCTTCTGAACTTCGTTCTGTGATCGCCCAAATCGCTGCCGAGCATGAGCATTGCATTGCTTGTGGTTTAAGTGGATTCGGTAAGCACGGTCATTTACCAACTTACTGAAGGGATGCTGCGGGTGATGAGGTAAATGCAGTTGCAGCTTTTCATGTTCCAGTAAAGTGAAATAACGGGACTCGATCTCCATGCCTTCAGGGCCGAGCCTCAGCAGGGCGGTTTATGTAGCAGCTAAGCCTGATAGGCGTTGTTCAGCATCATCTGGGCCTTAAGTTCAGTCATAAAGTGGTTGAGATTTCTGGCTTTTTCGGTGCAAATTCCTGAAGCAAATGCCGCATCCTCTAGTTTAAACGGAGTTGCAGGATGTTCATTTTATCGCTGCAGACTACGGTGTTTCTATGGATAGCCATCTTACTTAACGCAGCCGGGAAGTAGCTTGTTTACCTCACTGTTACATCAGCGTGTTCCTCTTTTCAGTCAAACCTATTTTCTGCTTTGTTTTTAATTAACTTGAGAGGTGAGATAAGGAGCGGGAGAGACGGCCACTTGACCGTGGTGGAGAGATGTGCAGCCCTTTTGCTTACCGCATTTGTAGCTGCCGTGCTTGAAGTGGGCTGTGGCCATGGCTCTGCCTTGTAGGTGCCCCAGGGCTGATGCTTCCCACGCAGTCTGGAGTCTGATCCGTGGTGTGGCTGGTGTTCCACGTACGGAGTCAGCACGCTTAGTACGTACAGATGCGTGTAACCTTTCTGACTTTACAACTGCAGGGAGTGCAGCGAGGCACGAGGGCGTGGTGAAGCCCGTATCTTGAGCAGTGTTGGAGGAACACACCTCTGGTTGTTGTCTTAGAAATAAGTTGGGTTTGATGTTTGTTTGTATTTTTAGCAATCTTCAGAGTTAGTGACACCAGACTGAAGGGATTCAAGCTGAAGCCCTCTGAAGCCAAGCACTGGGAAACTAAGACGGTCCTGATGTGGGAATTGCGCTTTTATCGGAGTGGGGCCTTGCAGACTGCGTCAATTACTCTGAGTGTGTGTAATCCCAAATGGATTTTAATTGTTTGTTTGTTTGTTTCTCTGTGTTTTCCTAAAGAGACAGCGATGTCTTTAGTCTTGCTGCATCCTAGATTTAGCAGCAGGAACTTGGAACACAAGCCCTCAGTTGTTGAAACTAAATTGCTTTTTCTTTTGGGGAAGAATCGGGACTTCCCTGCATACACGCTGGGGTGACCCTTCTCGGTTAAACCTCTCTAAATCTGTCCGTTGGGCTACCACACCCTCCCTCCTGCTGCAGAAATCTGAGCTTGTTTTTAAATTGCTTGTCTGCAAATAAAATTTGGGCTATTACTGGGGGGGAAGTCTGATATTAGCCCATTCTTTCTGCGTGATGAGCTAATCTGTGCTTGTCCTATGTCACCTTAGTCCAGCTAACTTGTGTTTTGCCTGCAGCCTTCGGTATCATTGTGGGCCTGGAGTAGATTGGTTTGGTGGAGGAAGAATGGATTTTTGTGGGCAGTTAAGTTACAAGCTAGAACAAATATTTAACCCACACAGAGAAAATACTGTAATTGTTCAGAAAATAGTTACTTTATAAGTAGGTTGCAACCCTTGAGGTGAGCTGGAAGAAAAAGAGGGTTCATACCAGTGGCAGTATTATCACACCGAGGCCACTGGTGCTATTCAGGGCCCTCGGACTATAGGGGCAGGTTGATAGTTGGCAGTTCTGGTTGTCCTGGGACTGATACCAAGGGCAAAGGTAGACCTGAATAGTTTATTTTAGAACCTGGTGAAGTCTTTCAGGCAAACTTAGAGCCTTTAGAAAGCAACTAATTGGCTGAAAATGCTGCAACAGTTGAATTAAGCTAAATAGCAGTTTTAATGTGGATTGCTTTAAAATGTCTGTTGTCAGAATTTGTTGGTGAATAGCTCAAGGCTTATCTAAATGCCTTTGAGGATGACGCTGGAAATAAATAGAAAGGAAAATACAGAAAATGAAGGAATGAGCCATGGATGAGTTCTGGAGCTGAAATAAGCCTGAGTGGGAATAATGGCAGGAGCAGAACGAACAAGCTCCCTTGGCAGACCTGACCTAAGCAATTACCAAAAAAAAGGGCTGGGGATTTTTTTGGTAACTTCAGCTGAACTGCCCGCTGCTGCGACCGCCAGCAGGGGCTTGCTAAAAACAGCTTCCTTCTTCATTGATCCTCAGGGGTCCCTCACCATGACTGCCACGGGAGCAAGTAGGCGGTTTTCAACCTGAAGCTGTACTGACAGGAGAGCCAGCGGCTTTCAGCGAAGTCTTCGGGCTGTGCAACAGCCGGCAAAACTGGAGCTCGGCTCTGTCCAGATGCAGCAGGCACCGAAACCCTGGGCCCTGGCTGTAGGTCACTGCACTGCGCCTGCTGCAATGGCCGTCCTCGTAGGGGGAGAGCAAAGAGAAGGTGGGTGAGACAACGCACCAAATGCTTTTATAGGCACAAAATTATGAATGCCTTACTTTGCCACTGCTTTTTTGTGTTTTTTTTAATTCTGCTTTTTTGTGAAGCCAACCAATCGCTAGAAAATGTGCATGGACAGGATTTGTCTAAAATTATGTTTGTTTGGGTTTTTAAAGTGTGTGTCACAGCAGCATGTTCTTGACCACATGCTGAAGCCTCCCCTGGATGGCTGTGACTCCTTCCTCCCATGTCACAAGAACCCCACATACAGACTCTCAGTAAAACACTGCCCTACACTAGCAGTTTTGAAAAGTGATGTAGAGCAACTGCCCCTTTTCCCCTTCCCTCCCCCTGTACTGGTAGGACAGCTGCCTCTCAAAGCTCAGACAGCTGGAAGATTATCTATGAGGTATCGTATATATATCTCATATACAGAGTACATATGTAGTAAGGAATGGCATTAATTCCTCTTCAACTGCTTCTGCCATACCATGTTAACAGTGACATTGCCTTCAGTTTCAGCAGACTTTTATTTACCATTTCAGTTTGTTTTCACATTCTACTTAAACAGCAGCAAGCATCACTTTTGGCATGCAGACACATTCCCTGTACACTGAACAAGGCCAAAGCAGCTGAGCTTTTAAAATATGGTTCACAGGATTTAATTTTATACACCTCTGCAGAGATCACTCAAGTTAGAAATACTTAATTTAAAATGACTATTGTACAATGGAAGTCACTTATTCACAATATTCATAGTTATTTCATTCTTTATTTACAAAATACTATCCTGAGAATTTTCTATTAAGCTTCAATTTGAGCGAAGTAGTTTATATATACCTAAGTAACAACAGTTACTTAACACGAGGAAAAATGCCATTAGAAGAGCACAGAAACGGTTT